GTCAGTATTGCCAACGCATGATTTTGGCAGTGTTCTTAAAGTCTATACGTTAGGAATGTGAAAAACTTATCTTTCTTCTGTAAAGGTGCTGAAGGGTTTCCTCTAAGCTTGCAAGCTCAATCAGGGTGTTTGCGCTCTTCGAACAAGGCTCTGCAGCAGGTTGTACACAGAATGCACAGCTGTAAGTCTAGGGCAGGAAGCCTGAAGAAACGGGAGACTAGCTGGGGAGAGGAGAGCTGAAACTGTGCTGAGAAGAGCTGTAACCAGGACAATTGCTTCTGAGAGGATGACTGGTAGAGGAATTGTTGCTGAGCGAGCTGCTACTGAAGGGCAGAGGAGCCACCAGCTACTGAGTACCCAGGATTGCCTGGTATCTTTTACTATAGGAGCAGGGGTTGTGCAAATAGGTTCCTCTCCCCACTGTTAAGATCCCTGGGTGCAGGGAGTCACTAGGAGGGAATCTGGGACAGGGGTTGCTAGAGGAGGTTTTCTGGGAGAGCTAGAGAAAGCAGCAGGGAATCAGTGGCTATGTGGGAGCTCCAACAGAGAGCTCAATAAAGTACAGCTGAGAAGGGGCACTCCAGGTGCCAACCACAGGTGAGCTGCCTTGGGAAGTGTCTGGGGAATGGTGTGATTGATTGCAGGTGCCCAGGAAAGACTGGAAAAGGGAAGAAACCCTGGTCTCCAGAGCAGCCACACCCAAAGTCCTGATGGGTACCCCCATCTTCTGTCCAGATGATGGTATTGCCACCCCTCTTCTGAGGCAGAGCAAGCATTGGTCCCTGGGGCTCCACTGCAGCCACTCCACAGTGGGCTACTTTATGGCAGAGAGTGATTTTTGTGGAGAACTGGCTGATTTAAGTGTGTATATACCTGTTATAAGTCACCTGAGTGTTAAAGTTGATAACATAATTGCTTTACTTATCTGCTGGTATGGATTATTATCAAGCTAATTGAAAATATTTTGTTTGACAAATTTGACATCCCATAAATAACAATTTATTATTGTAAATAGTTAGTTAGTGTGTGTGGACCATGGGAGAGTACTCCAATGAGTGGTGCTTCCAGCCTGTAGACGGAGTAGGAGTAGACTGAGACCTGTTGGCACCCTAGGATCCCAATAAATTTCAATGTAGCTGTGGGTAGCACTGCCACCAGGGTTACACTTCTATATATAAAAGAAAGAGCTAAGTTTTTTGTTTTGTGTTTTTTTTTTTTTTTTTTTTTTTTCACGTTCTGAAAGCGTAGTCCACCACCAAACCAACACCAAAAATCCATGAGAGTTGGCAACACTGGAGGGAGATGGGCTAGGGCAGGATGCCAAGGGGCTACAGACTGCCCAAGACTCCTCGAGCCTTGCTACACTACTACCTGTTGTTGTTTGGTCTCTCTTCTGATCTTATTTAACTGCTACATGTTTATGTCTGTTGTATATTTATGACGGGTAGTGTTGCCCAGGCTCCCAAACTTATTAATTTGATATGGCCCCTTGCTACAGGAGCTCTCGCTCCCATGTATACCAGGGAACAATTTTGCCCACACATCTGTCCAGCCCTCTTCCAACCTCACCTCTGCTGTACTCGGAGCTTTTGGGGTTCTCCAACTGCCATCAGTGAAGTACTTGGAGGCAGGGGCTGCAGCAGGATCCTCTTCTCACATCCAGAGAGGGAACAGTTCCAAATAGTCACTGTCCTCCCATATGCCTTCTCATACTGGTGGGAAGGACAGAAGAGCCATCCTCAGTGGTGTCAGGAGGAAGCGGAACTGCTCTAAGCTGCTGGGGTTGTGTTTTTTGTGTGTTTTTGTTGGTTGTTTTCTGCTCCTTCCCCGCTCTCCTCCTCTGAGGATAGTGTTATCTCTTGGGCAGAGAGAAAGCTCTACCTGCCTCCCACAACAGTCCTTCCAGGGAAGTGCAAGCAACCAGAGGCAGTGGGGAAAGCATCCAACTGAAGTGTTGGCTACAAATGTCCAACTCAGGATGCTTAAAATTCTGGTTTATTAGGCGGATTGAAGCACTGTAATGAAGTTAAATCATAAACCTTGGGGCTGGTCCACCCACCCACACCCAAGCTACAAGAGTTGGGTATACCTATCCCACAGGTGCTGGAGTCTGCTGTTGAGGCTTCTTTCAGCATGGTGTTATCTTCCAGACGGGGGTCTCTGGCTGGACAGGTTGGGTGCTGGTCAAGTTGGAGATCAAGAGGGCACCGCTGAGGGTCACTTTTCACTGCTTTTTATCTGTCCTTGGCAGACTTTGGTGACTCCCCAGTTTTCAGGTTTGCCCAATCCAGGGGTCGTTGACCCTCATGGGACTTCCCCCTCGGTGGCTACTGGCTGGCATCTGTCAGCCCCAGGGGTCGTCCGCATGTACGTGCAGGTTTGGGAGTCCGTTGATGAATTTTGAATAGGGCTCTGGGAGCGGTCGATCTGGAGATATTCATCCCAAAAGTTGGGTCTGCTACTGTTACGCATTCAATCACTGATTCACTCGCTCTTTCAGGGACCCACCTGATACAGGGAAGCACCAGTTTGACTCCTGCCCTTGTTAACATTGTTACTAAACACATTTATAGTTGAAAGGTGAGGAGTATAAAATATAAGCTACAAAAGTAATGCCATGGCACACAAATAGATAACAATACCAAAATACAAGGGGAGATACAAAATGCGCGCACACAAATTTTAAACACAATTCCTTATCTTAAAGTGAAAGAGAAAGGAAGGAAGAAAGGGTAGAAGAGGAAAAACATATCCAAGGAGGGGAGAGCAACTGCAGGCAAGAGGAAAAGGGGGCTTTCTGCTACAGAAGAGGGCTAGGCCCTGGGGAAAAAGAAGAAATGCACAAGAGCTTGAACTTTAAAACTTCCGGATCTAGTTAAACTGGAAGAAAATTCTTTTTAATTGTGAAATAAGAGTATCCACACAGGGAGTTAATCAGGAAGTAGCAAGCTCTCTCTTCTTTTTTTAAACACAAGCTAAATTTTTTTTTCTTAGGCAAGCCACTCAAGTTAATAGACATCCCTGAAACTTCCCCAGTGCCCCTAAGTGCCACACTAGGGAAGGCAAAAATTAACATTTCCTAATTTTTTCTAAAGTAAAAATGGAAAAAAGGGGGAAAATTACAAAGCCAAACCCTATCATAAGTAGGGCTGTCAACTCTGTTTGAATCTATTCTGGGAGGTTTCTGGAACACCAGCGTGCCTGCATGCTTGCATATATCAGTTACAGATTATGCTGCGTAGGCTTTATGTCAGGAAGGAAAATGCATAGTACTATTGCATTTTAAACCCACTGGACTACTGTATAAATTGGATTCAACATTTAATATTTATTTTTATGAATGCCCTATCATTTATCTCTTGGGTAACTCTCAGCAGTCCCCTGGAGATTTGCATCTAATTCCTGCAGACTCCAAAGCAATCCTGGAGGGTTGGCAACCTTAAGTAAGAGGGTGCACAAACTCACCCTTCTTTCTTTACAGGTCACCTCTTAGTCTCCCTATTAATTTGAACCCAACTTTCTGAACAACAACAATCCTAGATGAAAAATTGCCTTAAAAAACCCATGTGCATTTTCAAAAATATTTTCTCTGGTGGTATAATTCCTTCATCATTTTTCTGCCTCTCTTACCTTGTTATTTGAATAGAAAATCCTTTAAAAACAAAACAAAAAAAATGTCCATTTCATACCCTGTGAAACAGAAGCAAATGTAAAATTTCAGAATGTCTGCTCCAAAGTAGGTACTGCAAATTCTCAGTTTTATCAGAACTGGGGTATTTCTTCCCCCCCCATAAAGATTTGGATGTAGTCAAGTGATTGGCAGAGAATCTTAGCTTTATTTTTATTTAATTTCTAGCTCTTGTGGTTACAAAGAGAAACTTGGAAAAGTTACTCTGACAGTCCCAGCATCCAAAGGCAAATAAATACAGTGTAACCTATTCACATGTATAATTTGCTTAATTGAATAACCCAATCCCAGTCCACATCTGATGCCTATTGTTTACACGGTAACAAACACTGGTTTTCTGTACATGGCAGTGGCTCCCCAAGGTTGTGCCACAGCACACTGGTGTGCCAGGACCACAGGGGATGCGCACCACAAAAAATGGACTGGATTGGGCCCCAGCTGCACAAGCCTCGTGGCCGGGTCAGGCCCAAAGACTGGTGGGTGAAACGTGCCACCAATTTTAATCCAGAAAAAAGTGCTTCAAGTTTTGCCAACTCTGACTGAAGCTATTCCAGGAGATTTCTCCCTCATGTGACGTAATGTCGTGAACAGTACCGTTCAACCCGTTCACAGTATCAGCCTCCCGGATTGCTTTCAGTAGTCACCGGGAGACTCCCGGCCAACCCGGGAGGGTGGGCAACTATGTGCTTCGGGTATCAAAAGTTTGGGAAGGGCTGGTACGTGGGCTGTTCGGCGTTTCTGCTGCTTCCCTGTGTGGCGTTTTCCAGCCCGTCTGCTCTGTAATTGAACTGTACTCCACCGAAGTGCCTGTTAACTCCATCGCGAACTTTTGCAACGGGCTGTTTAACACAATCAGCGAAGGGTTGTCAACAAGGCTGCTTGCTGTTCAGGAGCCCTGAGAATGAGGGCGGCTTATTCCACTCCCGCCTGGCAAGGCCCCTCAAGTCCCTAGCGCGGCCTGGGCCCCCAGCAGCCCCTGGGCGTGTTCACGGCCTGAGCGTGAGGAGAGCGGCCCGCGTCGGGTGCATACCACAGCGCTGCCAGAGCAAGGCAAGTCCAGCACCCTCGGGCAGGGCTCGGCGGGGCACCGCCTCCGCAGGCAACCGGGTAGGTGCAGATTCCCTCCAACGCGAGGGACACAAGTGACACAGGCACCGCCCAATCAAACCGCGGACTGAAGCTGTAGCCCCGCCCCCAAGCAGCGCGACCACCCCGGCCCCGCCCCCTACTGGCTGCTGCCAATCAGCAAGGCCAGGCCTCCTGACTGGCGCGTCACAACGGCTGTGACAAGCCCACTCCCGATTGGCGTTCGACTGCAGCCACCGCCGGCACTTGTCAGTCACGGGCGACGCAGCCCCGCCCCACCGAAGCTCTCCCAGCGGTATCAGGCTCCCCCTTCCCCGCACTCCGGTGGCTGTGCAGTGGCGCCGCCATGGCGGGGCAGCTGGAGGCGGTGCGCGAGGTGGAGATCGACGCGGACGGCACGTTCAAGTACATCCTGGTGCGGGTGCAGCGCGCGGGGGGCGCCGAGCACCGAGACGTCGTCAGGGGCAACAAAGCGGCCGAGTTCCACAGTGAGTCCTCCACGGGAGGGGGCGGGGCTCGGCGCGAGAGGCCCCGCCCCGAGGGGCGGGGCCAAGCCGGCTCTTGCAGTAGCCCTGACAGCTGGAGCGCTTGGGACTGTCCCTGGGCTGCTGGGTGCCCGCCTTGCTCTGGCAGGGCAGGCTCCCCACAGGGGTCCCGTGCCTGGGCGTGTCAAGATTTTGTCACAAAAAGGTGTCGCTGCGATGGGCTCTACCTTGGCTGTTGCCCTCCAGGAAAGATTTGTGAACACAGAAGAAAACAGGGCCGTGCTCAACAGCCCTCACAAAGGCAAACAAAGTGCCAGGGATAGGAAGAAGGGAATCGTAAAACCGAACGTCTCATCGTGCCCCTTTACAAGTCCAAGGGGCGGCCACGCCTCGAGTCTCGTGCCCAGTTCTGGTCCCCGCACCTCAAAAAAGGAGAGGGGAGATCTAGAGACTGTCCAGAGCAAGGCGGCAGGGGTGATGAGTGGTGTGGATGGGGTTTTGCATGAGGAAAGATTCAAGGGGCTGGGCCCATTCAGCTTAGAGAAGAGATGCTTGAGGGGGCGTGATGAGGGTTTATATAGTACTAATTGGCGAAGAGAAAGTAAATGGGGCTTTCTTATTCACTCTCTCTTTCTCAATACGAGTATTAGGGGTCACAAAATGAAACTAGCAGGTAATGAATTTAAAACTAACAAAACAAATTTCTTTGTCAACCAGTGTGTAATTAAAGTGTGGACCTCTTTGTCGCCAGATGCTTTGGAAGTCGACAGTTTAGCCAGATTCAGAAAGGGATTGGACAAATTTTTGGAGGAAAGGGGCATCATTGAGCATAGGAGTGAGGACTCTGGCCTCTGAATTGAAGCATCTTAGACCTTAAATGCCGAAGGCTGCAAGGACGAGAGGAACGGGGCGGGGGGGAACCCTGGTTATACCCACTTCAGTCTCCCTTGCAGCATCCATTCTGTGCCCCTGTGTGACACAGCAGATGGGGCAAGAGGGACCAATGGTCTGACCCAGTAAGTGGCAGTTCTTACATTTTAATTCTTATGCCAACAGCCCTGTGGAGTTTGGGACCCATGAGAGCTGAATTAGGGGTAAGACCCAAGCTGGTTTTCAGTTTGTCAGGATAAGTGCACACTCAGATACTGTAAAGACATGCTAATGCATGCACTGCTTCAACAGGAACTAATAACATTCAGTTTATAAGGTTTTTTGATCTTTCTTTTAGAAGCCTGGTTGCTATGAAGATAATTTAAATTAAGACTGTCTTTACGATGCTCTCTTAGGGCATTTTTACATATGCTGCAGGAGGTGTGGGGGGGTGGGGCACTTTAATTAGCAAGCCACACTAATTAAAAGTGCCCAATCGTTACCTGTATCAGCATCCTCACACTGAAAAAGGTGGCGGGGTGCTTTGAAATAAAGCTTGTTGGACAAGCTTTAGTTCAAAGTGCCCTGCTGCTGTTTTTCTGTGCAGGGATGCTGATTCACATGACACTGGAGTCTTCTGGAGCACGTTAATTTTGTGCTCTGGCAGACTCGGCTCTGATGCACTGGAAATCCAGCGCATCGGAGCCAGCTTCCTGCATGTGTATAGGAGTCCTTAGACCTTGTCCGTCCTGGATTTTGTACTAGGCTTTGCTTGGAGTCGCACTGTGCCCACATAAAAAGCAACTCTTACTAGTATTGCTCAACATAGCTTCCAGACCTCTTAGACTTCAGCTAGGGGTTGTACAGTTTGACCAGCCTCTGATTTAATGAAACCAACAAGCTTAAGTATAACCATTCTGGTGCCCCCAGATCTATCGATAACAAAATCTTTTTCTTACAAGCCTCAGATAGGAGATTAGAAAGAATGAGTAACTTAGAAAAAAAGGACCTCTAAATCTTTTTGATATTGAAATGCAAGTTCTGGCTAATGGATTTAAATATCTTTTTCCAGATCACATATTTGAAAAATTAAATCCTGAAATGAAAAAATTGGGCTTTGAATGCAAGTGCCTGGGAGGAGGAAAAATTGACCATAATAGCAAAGATAAGAAACTGCGGGTATTTGGTCTCTCTACAGTAAGTCCTGGGTTTGTTTCTTTGAACAAGTTACAGTTTATGTTTTTATGTAAAATAATTTGCAGTAGTAAACTATTACAGTCCTAATTATTACAACTAGCATTTTTTTTTTTTGTTTAAAAAGTTAGACTGAAATTCATATCATGCTTTTATTTTTTTTTCTATCAGTTGTGTTTTTGTGTTAACATACAGTTCAGGTTTCAGTTAACTGTGCTGTTTCGAGTTCACTGGAGTTAATGCTCCTGTTGTTAGCTGAGAGTCAATTATGTTTCATTTAAACCCTAACTCTGATTTTCTTCTTTTTTCCTGCCCTCTACTTTTCAGAAGTGTTAGTGACCTATATAGAAGTTACTGATACCTGCCTTCAACCTTAACTCTAGTTAATAAGGTTTATTTTCATTAAACAATCCTGTCTGTGTTCTAACTCTGCAAAAACTGAGAAAAAGGTTGATTTCTTTTAAATAAGATAGTTTATAGAAAATGGCTTTATTCTTTTATGGCATGTGAGTCTAAAGATTCTGTATAATCCTGTTCTTTCTTAAAGACAGACTAAAAACTGACTACAGAACTTTCATTTACTTCAGCGCGAGTATTGCGAGTAAAATACATTAAGCTTTGAGGCCATAAAACTGGATATTTAGAATGATAACTCAAACTTGATGATTTGGCATCTCATACATTTGCACCCTTTTAAACTTTTTCCCCTCTTTCCTGCAGGGATATGGTAAAGCAGATCATTCAGTGACTGTAGAAATACTAAAAAGAGTATACAAAGACTACGAAATTACTTGGTCGGATGACAAGAAATGAATTTAACTACTATGTAATATACCATCTTAAATTGTGTTCAAATAAATCAGCGTGACTTTTAGTTGAATAAAAAGATCCATAGTGATGTTTTGTTTCCCTCTGTGTGCTCTCCATACATGTTGAATAGCTTGACCCTGCTTCAGTGTAAGACTGTCCAGACTAAACAGGTGCCGTATTCACTTGAATCTAAGACCCTGAATTTGAAATGAATCCCCAATAATTAGATTCTATACATGGAAAATATGGTATAATTTTCCATGCATAGAATCTAATTATTGGAAGGTCATCTTTAATTCATCCTCCCACTACTGTGGCGGGAGGCAGCTGGTATTGAGAGGTCAAGCAGTTTGCCCCCTGCTTGTGCCTGTGCCCTGCTACCTCTGCCCCCTGCCTGCCCCCCACCTCTGCAGCTTTGGAGTTTCTCTTCCTCCTCTGCCTCTGTTCCCCCTCTCCTCCCTCCCCATAAGTCTCTACTTTCCTCCTGCCCCTTACTCTTGCTGGAAGGCATCAACACTGTTCTAGCCTGGGGTACAGCCCAGCCCCTGTAGCAGCTATGTGGGCTGTGCACCACTGCTACAGGGCTTCTCAGTGCTTCAGGCTGCAGCCTGGATGGAGCCCACTGATGCATAGAAGGGTAAGGGAGGCAGGAAGGGAGAAATAGGGGCAGGCAGAGGAGCAGAGACTGCGTGGGGTAGAGATGGGAAGAAAAGGCTGGAGGGCAGAGATGGGGTTGGGGGCAGGAGTGGGGGGTGGGACAGGCAGCAGCTAGGGCTATGGTTCAGACCCTGGGTATGGGTTGGCGCCCGAGTCATGGCAGCTGCTGCACCTCCGCACTCTCATACTTGATTCTAAGATGAAGGGCCCTTTCTCTTATGTTAAATGGCGGGGGGGGGACGACACATCTTAAAATCATGGAACTATGGTATTGTCAAATGAGCATACATATCTGGTAGGGTTGTGCGAGGCTTCGGACAGAGCTTTGGATCCAGAGAAGCTTCGGACGCTTCAGGGTCCGAAGCAGCACATCCGGGTGGAAGCGCTGGCCTTGTTAGGCTTTGGAGTCGCCTCAGAGATCCGGCTGTAGGATATAATGGGGAAAAAATAAAATATAACGTTGTTGTTTTTGTCTGATTTGGATGAAATTTTCAGGAGTGGTAGACTCTGCAGAGGGGATGAAGCCTGCCAAGTTTCAAGAAGATTGGTTTAGGGGGTTGGGGGGGAACAGCACCCCAAATTGTTGAAAGCAAACCCCCTGTCACATCTATGTGTTACAACATGGCGGGGTGAAAACTGCAAGGTGGTAGCTCTTGCTGAGGCCACAAAGCCTGCCAAGTTTCAAGAAGATCGGTGCAGGGGTTTGGGGGGAACTGCCCCTCAAGCTGCGGACAAGCAAAACTTGTGCCATTGGTTTGTGTGGGACGGTCTCTGTCTTAGGATGGGGGAGAGGAGACACTACTGCAGGCCTGGCTGCTAAACTACTGTGTTTCCAGTTACCAATCAATCAATCAATCATGATTCACTCAGGGACCAAGAACTCAGGGAGCAGCTCAATACACAGGACCTAGCTACTACATAAAGACTTAATGAGCAGCAGTTAGCATCTACAAACCCAGGCTAAGGAGAGGAAAGAATCAAAACAAGATAATCAACTGCCCCAAGACAGACACAGTCTTGGCATGAGTTTTGTCTGTCAGCAGCTAGGGGTGCAGGGCCCCAGAACCCCCCTGCACCGATCTCCTCCACACCTGGCACGCGTCACAGCAGGGGCCAAGATCCCTGCAGCTGTCACCCCGCTGCACCTTAACTCACACAGTGTCACCCATGGCACCAGTTTTGCTCGTCTGCAGCTTGAGGTGCAGTTCCCTCCAAACCCCTGCACCAATCTCCTTGAAACTTGGCAGACTTTGTGGCCTCAGTAAGAGCTACCAGTCCTGCAGTTTTGACACCCCCCCCGCACTGGTGGTGTGACACAGCCATGACATGAGTTTGGCTTTCAAGAATTTAGGGTACAGTTCCCACAAAAACCCTGCACCAATCTTGAAACTTGGCAGACTTCATGGTCTCAGCAGTGGCTACCATCCATGCAAGTTTCTTCCAAGTCAGACAAGAAACAACAAAGTTATAGATATTTAATTGATTCCTCATTATACCCTATGGCCGGATCTCTGTGGCAGCTCCAATGCTTTGGAGCCGCTTCGGCTGAATCGAGGTGGAAACCTGGTCTGGAAATCCGGATCAGATTGTGGCCATCCGAAGCGGATGGATCCAAAGCTGGATCGGATTGCTGCTGACTTGCACAGGCCTAATATCTGGAGCATACATATCTTAACTTGGGCTGCATCTGAATTGTTTAGTGCAGGGGTTTTCAACCGAGGGACCCTGCCCCCCCTGCTAGTCTGGCCACAGGGTACGCCTGCCTTCTTGACCAACCGCCGGGGGTACAATGACCCAAAAAAGTTAAACCCCGCTGGTTTAATGCATTTTCCTGATGTTCTAGCATTGAGGCCATCCTTAATTCATTAAATGCAAACATTTCTTTTTATTGTTCTTCCTTGCTACTTGTGACAGGACCAAGCCCCAGAGGTGGATGTGATGCCCCCTGGTAGCCAAATGGCTTCTGTCTAGCTCTCCCTCTAAGCTACCTTCCCTTTTCCCTCATCTGCCACGCCTTGGTATTCTTAATAGATTTGGAAAGGGTCTTCAAGTGAGCCTTGGCCTGTCTTCTGGCCAGCAGATCCTTTTTGTATCCCACTGATCCAAATCTATCCTTATGCTAGATGGGCCCTTCTGGCCTGTACATGCCCCCAGGATACCAGATACTTTATGGGCTGCTCACAGCCTCTAACCTACCCTAGAGCTGTACCTATGCCTCACAGGTATTACCACTCAGAGGGTGCTCAGACCCTAATTTCTGCTCCAATCCATTCAGGCCTCCTTGCCTTTTCTCAGTCTCTGCCCTCCTTGTGCTCAGGTTCCGCACCTCCATCAGTCTCCATCCCTCCCAGACTATTAATTCCTCCCGAATTAATGGAGGAAGTGGGCTGTGTGGCATCAACTTTTCCCTGCGTACTCCCTTCCCCTCTCCTCCCCCGCTCCTGCAGTGTCCCTGTTGTTGACTGGCCAGGAGGCAAAAATGGTGCCATATTTAAAACCGCCACTGCACAGCCCACTTCTGCCATTAATTCAGTAGGTCCCTAGCTATGGCCCCCTGGCCCTAGTTCTTGCCCCTGTTTGTTCCTACCCTTTCTGGTTGTGGGCCCCTGGCCTAGTTTTTGTGTCTCTCAGACTATGGTTCTGCCCCCCACTCCCATTGAGCTGTGGGATCCCTGGCCCTGCTTATTCTCACCGCACTTGGGCTGTGGGCTCTTGTTTTTCTTGCTCTCCTTGGCAGGAACCTCTCCTGTGCCTTGGGCCCCAGCCCCTGGCAGGGTTCCTCAAAACAGTTGTGTGCCAGCACCACTGGGACCTCCAGCATCTCCTTACTCATCTGTAAACCTTTAATCCCTTGCTGGTGGTCTTCATGGTATACAACTCCCAGTATGTTGCTGAGCTATGGTTTCTTGAGTACAAAGCTCCTTCCCCAGGTAGCTTGCAGTTCTTAGAGCAAGTTGCCCCACTCAATCACTCCTTTCAGAACAAAACTCCTTCCCTGACCACCTGCAGAACCAGACTGGCCCCTAGCTCAAGTCCTGGGCTTTTATAATCTCTAAACCCTGCCTCTGCAGGTTATGTGACTCTCGCCCTTGCTACAGGGATTGCTCATCATGCCCAGCCATCTAGTTTCCAAGGGAGTTTACAGTTACCTGGCTAAGTTACCCAGCTAAGCTCTGCTCTATTGTCTTTTTGCAGCAGAGCTAGGCATGCCTAGTCTTTGGCATCTTATTGCCTGCCTTCTTGCAGCCAGTTCACTCTGAGCAAGGTTCCCTTGCCTGGCTGCAGGTGTTCCCCTTCTTAATGTGCAGCTCTCTACCATGCTCCCTGGCTGCCTAGTCCTTTGCAGCTGACCTTTGCTCTGCTGCCTGGCCTCTGTCTGCTGCAAATTTTTCCCTTGAAGTAACAGATGCGTTAGTCTCCCTGTTATACTACCATATTGAATACTCCACTGCCTTTCGACACAATAGTTTCTTTTTTTATATATCCCTCCTAAAAACTTTTGTTGCCTACAAACGGTAGGTCAATAATATAAATATATACAAATCCTGATCATTATCTCTGCTAAGCTTCATGACAGTCTACATCTGCTAAAGTTATTCAGCGAGATGAGTTTTCTTGAAGATGCATTTACCATGGGGTATTTCTTGAGCAAACAATGCAAAATATAAAATAGAAGTTATTTTAGTCCATTTTCCATTAGATACTCCCATTACAGAAAGCTACTATACCTACCATCAGCAGTGAGGCCAGAGAATGTAATGCCAGTTATCCTCCTAAGATAGTCTTACCACTCCCCACCCCTGCTTTATCTTTGCCAGCTTCATACCCTACTGAACACTCCTTAATCAGTAATGGCTGATGATATGGATTACAGCTTTGATTTCTTTTTTATTAACAGAATTTTGACTTGGGAATATTTTCCCATGCTATTACATCTAGTAACCAAGAATAGCAAAGGAGTCGGAATAATTTCTAAACAGAACATTTTCCGTAAGGCAAAAGGTGTAGATGAGATTTTACGTTTTTTCCTAAAGTTTTCAATAGCATGACATCTGTAAAAGTTGACATTTTAACTGCCTTGCTGGTCTCTCTGCAAGAAACAGGAGTATTTTATGACCTTATTTCCTGTAACTAGCAAACGCTTCCAAGAGAGCTTGTCTGATAAGAAGAACGCTGGTTCCTTTAACAAAAAACAAATCTCTCTTCAAAATTAACTTCCCTGAAAGACGGCAGCAGGATTTAATGTTTCTCTCTACACTTCCAACTTACTGGAAAAGCAGCCAGACTGAATTTCTTGTTATAAAGAAGTCAATCTTCCAAAACGTGAGAGTGGAGGGGTAAATTCTGGGAAAAGGCTGAGATGAGAGCTGTGGTTGCCTGATTTCCAGCTTCATTTTTCACATGCAAGAAATTCTAGATGGCTCTTTAGCA